GTGATGGTTGCATTTTACTCATTCTCCGCCTCTTTAAAGGAACACAAAACTCTACCCACATCTCAAAAGACATCCAGCCTCTGGAATCCCGTTGTCTTTTTCACTGAAAGAGGGAAATGAGTGATTGTTTGAGGATAACATGATAAGAGTTGGGTGTTTGAAACAATCTTTGAAGAGTAAACACAGACTGTTGCCAAGATGAGTAGACCATGCAGTGGTTTCTCAGGAAATTATCAACCTGTGAGGAAAGCCAGTGGAAAGGAAGGGGTTCTTGGTGGAGATGCTAGAACTTTTCGGTATAAGATTACTTGCCATATGGCAGGTATAGGTGCTAAGCAGAGAGAGGAAAGAGAAGGAGAAAAAGGAAGGAAGAGAGTTATCACTCCCATCTTCTCCTCTCTTAGACAGGTGTGCACTATTGGTTGAGTTTTAAAAGCAAAACAAAACATGTGAGTGCAGTTTGGGGGGTCATGAATAGAGGAGGACAGAGGGAAAGGGAGTTTTGAGGAGTGTGACCAGTGGAAGAGAGGTAGTGTGCAGGTAGCAAGGACCAGGTGTGCAGAGACATGGAGGGGAACTGAGCCAGGGGCTCACATGGACTGCAGGGGGGGGGGGGGGGGGCTGCCTGTGAAGATGTGGGGACCCGCTGGGTTCCCAGGCTGCCCTCTAACTGAAGATCATTGATTTTACGGGAAACTATGTTTACAGACAGAGTGCTGATCGACCTGCCAGTTGTCTTCTGCCTCCTTAAGTAAGAACTACCTTTTTGATTGGCAGATAAACAGTGAGAGCTAACAGGCTGGGTGGGAGAGAGGTATGTGTTGTGAGGTAACCCGCTGAAGGAGCACAGGTTCAAGAGTTCTCTTGATCGCTGGGTCTGGTCCCCTCTTGTTCACCCCCATTTCCGTACCCCTCATAGACTAGTGGGGACAGAAGACTGACCTTCTTTAGTTACCGTGGCCATATGAGTTGGCAGTATAGGGACGATGCTGTAAAACGAGTGTATCCAGCTTTAATGCACATCACATGGTGATCCTGTTAAAATACAGATTCTGCCTTTCTAGGTCTAAGCCATGGAACTGACCGTCTGCATTCCTCACCAACTCTCTGTGGGCCCAAGAACCACACTAGGTTGGAGTAGCCAGGTTAGGAAGGTTCCACTTGTCATGGTCAGCATGAGAGTAAACGCTGATGTGGCGATCCCTCTTCCTCATATGGATAGGTGGGCTCTTGCAGGTCCCCCCTCTGGGGCTGAAGTCACCTCTCAGAGATAGGTACAATGCTGTCCTTCCTTGTCTCCTTCCACTTTGGAATAGAAAACAAAGTATGGCCAGTGTGTGGAGTCCTTAGCTGGATAATTTGTGGAGGAGGAGGAAGAAGAGAGGAGAGCAAGAGAAACCCACCAATTAATTGGTAAATGCTTGCAGGTTTCTATTGCCCAGCCAGGCTGGGGAGGAGATTGGCTTTGCTGTCAATAAACAAGTCCCTGGTGCAGCATCAAAGCTGTTGTCCTTTATCAATCGTGGCCTCCCCTTCCCGCATGTTCCTGTAACTTACCAAGCATTTATGACATTGATTTTACAATCGGGTTGTTAACCCTCCCACCCCTTCAGGCCTGCCATCCTTCTTGGTCCAAGCTGTCAGTCAGGTGCCGCCCAGCCAATCAGACCTTGCCTTTAAGGAGAGCCACGCTGGATTCTTACCTGTATCCCAGCTGTTCTGTCCGAGGCCACCCCGCTGCTCTGTCACTTTGGTTTGGTTTAGTTTAGTAGTTTTTGTTTAAGATCAGTACACCTCTCCCAAGGCACGTGGAGCTTTGTAGTGACAGAGTTTGTGGTCATAAGCTGCTGCAAGACATGCATGTGTCTTTTCAATAAGACGTGACCCATTCTACCTAAAAGTGATTTCTCCAGAGACTTCTAGTGAACCTGCCTTCCCCCAGTTTTCCCGAGGGGGAGCTGTTGACTCACTAAGCCTGCAAGAGTCAAGAAATGAAGAAGAAAGTGGGAAGATGGGAGGACAGGAGCCCAAACCCAGCCAGCACCCCTCGATCTTATGTATGAATGAAGTGGTGGGTGGAGAAACAGCCAAGTGTTCTCCTGAAAGGAGGAGCCCAGGACCGGGCGGCCAAGCCCCCGTAGCAGCCGTGCATCCCTGGGACTATGTGACCACAAGAACAGAGCGGTAGTGACGGGGCCATCTGATGTCTCTGTCCCCGGGGACACTGGGTCGCACAGGGCAAATTCAGCTCAGTGGCACTATGGGGTCAGGAACAGAAAAGTCCCCGGGTTAAAGGCCAGCTGCTTGTGTAGTGACTAATAATGAAGAGGCGGGCATAGAACGGGGAATTGTGAGGTCAGCTGTGGCGTCCAGCACGATGCTCAGCTCTTTGATGGCAAAAGCCACCAAGCAAGTGGTGAACAGGCAAGGTGACACTGCTGGAGGGGAGTTGGCAGGCACTGGATCTGGTTGGCTCTTGGTAGAAATATCCGGCTTGTTTTCACCAACATGTCTCTAGTCAAAGCCAGCGGAGCATTTGGGGACCTGCCTTCTGAACAGGATGGCACTGGCCCCGATGGCATACTTGTTGTTGTAAAGTGTTGTCGAGTTGGTTCTGACTCATAGCGACCCCACATAGGGTTTCCTTCTGAGGAATGGCTGGTGAGCCTGAACCGTCGACTTTGTGCGTCAAACCGGCGTTGCAGTCCAGGCTTGGTGGTAGTGGTGGTGGTTATGGGCCGTGAAGTTGGTTCCAACTCATAGCGAATTTCCATAGGGTTTCCAAGGCTGTAAAGATTTACGGGAGCAGAAAGCCTCATCTCTGTCCCTGCGCAACAGCTGGTAATTTCCAACTGTTGACCTTGGGGTTAGCAGTCCGACTTGTAACCACTATGCTAGCAGAGCTCCTTGAACTAAGATGGCAGGCTTAGCTCCTCTGTTTGACTGCTTTTGAGAAGAGCCAGGTGCTTCCTGGGCTGGAGGGGAGGGAGGGAGGTAGCAGCTAACCTCTGTGGAAGGTCAGGCAGGGGCTTTTGGAGCGTGGTCAGGTCTGCACCCACTCCCGCTCAGCAGTTCTCAGTGCTGCTACCTGAACATTCCCAAGGTTGCACCCTGGGAATGTGGTCCGTGAAACTACCCTCATGGCTGCCTTCTTTTGGGGGTGCATCACTGTGCCCTCTCAGCCCTCCCTGCTGGTAGCCGTTAGGGCCCCGGTTCTGTTGCTGATGAGGACTGCCTTCTTGGCTGCAGCTGGTCTCCAGCTGGTGATGAGCTGGGCTCAGGGTAGAGTAGCCGACTGCCCCTCTGAGGACCCACAGGGCTTTTCCTCCCTTCCCTTTCCTTGCACCCCTGCTCATGCCTTGTCCTGGCCGAGACGCCCATGGGCACCACCCACCCTCTGAAGTTGGGCAGTTTGGGTGACCCCTGTTTTGTGGGTGTGGACAGAAACCTCGTAGAGAGCTGTGTATAGGACTGAGTCTCGGCCCTCCTAACCTCTTTCCTTTCTCTCTCTCTCTTCCCCCCTCTCCCTGTTCTCCCCTTGCCTACGCTCTTCAGGTTCGATCCATACTGGGTGCAATGAACGCTCCACGCAGGCCTTACCATGGAAGGCTGTGACTCGCCCGTCATCTCGGGGAAGGACAATGGGTGCGGTCTCCCTCAGCACCAGCAATGGACTGAACTCAACAACACCCACCTCCCCGACAAACCCAGTAGCATGGAGCAGCCTACGAGTGAGAACCACGGGCCCCTGGACAGCCTGAGGGCCCCCTTCAATGAGCGCCTCGCCGAGAGCACCATCTCGGCTGGCCCGGCCGCTGAGGCAGCCAGCAAGGAGGTCAGCTGCAACGAGTGCTCGGCCTCCTTCGCCAGCTTACAGACCTACATGGAGCACCACTGCCCCAGCGCACGCCCCCCGCTGCCCCTGAGAGATGAGAGCACCAGCGACAGCAGCGAGGAAGGGGACGAGGAGAGTGACGTGGAGAACCTGGCTGGTGAGATCGTCTACCAGCCAGACGGCTCGGCCTACATTGTGGAGAGCCTGAGCCAGCTGACCCAAAGTGGGGGCACCTGCAGCAGCGGCAGCGGGACCCTCCCTTCGCTCTTTCTGAACTCGCTCCCAACCGCGGGGGGCAAACAAGGGGACCCTTCCTGTGCTGCGCCAGTCTATCCACAGATCATCAACACTTTTCACATAGCCTCATCCTTCGGGAAGTGGTTTGAGGGCCCAGAGCAGGCTTTCCCGAATACCTCAGCCCTGGCGGGGCTCAGCCCCGTCCTGCACAGCTTCCGCGTTTTCGACGTGCGACATAAAAGCAACAAGGATTACCTGAACAGCGATGGTTCTGCCAAAAGCTCCTGCGTATCCAAAGATGTTCCCAACAATGTGGACCTGTCCAAATTCGATGGCTTTGTGCTCTATGGGAAGAGGAAGCCCATCCTCATGTGCTTCCTGTGCAAACTCTCCTTCGGGTACGTCCGCTCGTTCGTGACGCATGCCGTGCACGACCATCGAATGACCCTGAGCGAGGACGAGCGGAAAATTCTTAGCAATAAGAACATCTCCGCTATCATCCAAGGGATTGGCAAAGACAAGGAACCCCTTGTAAGTTTTCTGGAACCAAAAAACAAAAACTTTCAACACCCTTTAGTTTCCACAGCTAACCTCATAGGCCCCGGACACAGTTTTTATGGTAAATTTAGTGGCATTCGGATGGAAGGGGAGGAAGCTCTCCCAGCCGGCTCTGCTGCAGGCCCTGAGCAACCCCAAGCTGGTATCTTGACCCCCAGCACCCTCTTGAACCTTGGTGGGCTCACCAGCTCGGTCCTGAAGACCCCCATTACCTCAGTCCCCCTGGAGCCTCTGGCATCCAGTCCTACCAAATCCTCAGAGGGCAAGGACTCTGGGGCAGCAGAAGGAGAAAAGCAGGAAGTGGGCGAGCCGGACTGCTTCTCCGAGAAAGCAGAGCCAGCTGAGGAGGAGGTGGAGGAGGAGGAGGAGGAAGAGGTGGAGGAGGAGGAGGAAGAGGAAGAGGAGGAAGAAGAGGAGGAGGAAGATGAGGGTTGCAAAGGACTCTTTCCAAACGAGTTGGACGAGGAACTGGAGGACAAGCCCCACGAGGAGTCTGGGGCTGCGACAGGTAGTAGCAGCAAAAAGGACCTTGCTCTCTCAAACCAAAGCATTTCTAACTCCCCCTTAATGCCTAATGTGCTCCAGACCCTGTCGAGGGGCACAGCTTCTACTACTTCTAATTCTGCTTCTTCCTTTGTTGTCTTTGATGGTGCGAACAGGAGGAATCGTTTAAGCTTTAACAGTGAGGGCGTCAGGGCCAATGTGGCAGAGGGCGGCAGGAGGCTGGACTTCGCTGATGAAAGTGCCAATAAAGACAATGCCACAGCACCAGAACCAAATGAAAGTCCCGAGGGCGAGGATGGGAGCTTCATCTCCCATCACCAGCATGCTGGCTCCCTCTGCGAGCTCGGGGTCGGGGAGTGCCCCTCGGGGAGCGGCGTGGAGTGCCCCAAGTGTGATACGGTCCTGGGCTCCTCCCGCTCGCTGGGCGGCCACATGACCATGATGCATTCTCGTAACTCGTGCAAGACCCTCAAGTGCCCCAAGTGCAACTGGCACTACAAGTACCAGCAGACACTGGAGGCACACATGAAGGAGAAGCACCCGGAGCCGGGGGGCTCCTGCGTCTACTGCAAGAGTGGGCAACCCCACCCTCGGTTGGCACGAGGCGAGAGCTACACCTGTGGTTACAAACCCTTCCGCTGCGAGGTGTGTAACTACTCCACAACGACCAAAGGCAACCTCAGTATTCATATGCAGTCTGACAAGCATCTCAACAACATGCAGAACCTGCAGAACGGAGGGGGTGAGCAAGTCTTCAGCCACACTGCAGGGGCGGCGGCGGCGGCGGCAGCTGCAGCAGCTGCAGCCGCCAACATTGGCAGCTCCTGTGGGGCCCCCTCGCCCACCAAACCAAAAACCAAACCCACCTGGCGCTGTGAGGTGTGCGACTATGAGACCAATGTGGCTAGGAACCTCCGTATTCATATGACCAGTGAGAAGCACATGCACAACATGATGTTGCTGCAGCAGAACATGACCCAAATCCAACACAATCGCCACCTGGGCCTCGGCAGCCTGCCCTCCTCTGCCGAGGCCGAACTCTACCAGTACTACCTGGCCCAGAACATGAACCTGCCCAACCTGAAGATGGACAACGCCGCCTCGGATGCCCAGTTCATGATGAGCGGCTTCCAGCTGGATCCCACCGGGCCCATGGCTGCCATGACACCCACTCTAGGTGAGGCTGACTTCCTGTTCCTTTCTGTTCTCTGAGTTTCTCTGGGGGAAGTTGGAAATTGTCCTGTTGAGTTTCTTCTTCTTCTTCTTTTTTTTTAATGTCCTTCAGTTGTCCTGTGTAAACTTGAGTGTCTAAATTTAGGGGCGTTCATCTTATACATAGTCGCAAGGGTCTGTTGGACTCTGTATGTGCACATGGAGGCCTGTGTGTGCTCAACAGAGGCTAACTGTGCCTTGACGACATATTGGGCTGGGATTAAAATCTAAGTGTTTCCTCTGGGTTTTGGCTTATGGTCAACCTTTCTTACTGTTCCCCATTCTCTCTTTCTCATTTTGAAAAATTGCCATATTTCTCTGCAGTTTTGGGGTTTCATTAAATATTTATTGGGACTTACAGGAACTGGAGCTGGATTTTTATGTAGGGAAAATCATCTCAATAAGAGGAATTAGGAACTGTAGCATGCTTTATTCAAACAGCCAACTGCTGGCTCAGTGCTGAGTTGGGAGCCTTCTAGACAGAACTTCTCAACATTCCTGTGTATTCAGAGAGAAGGTCTCCATGAAAGAGACGTCATGTTTAATTTTGATTTTGCCTTTCTTACTTTGGGTGAGTTCTTGGTGATTAGTATGTTCTTGGTGTTAAGTGCTGTCGAGTTGGTTCCGACTCACGGTGACCCTGTATTAGCGTTTCCAAGGAGCGGCTGGTGAGTTTGAACTGTTGACCCTGAAGTTCAAACCGACCTTGCGGTCCAGTGCTTATCTTATAAGCGCCACACCAGTGATAAGCATTGTGGTTTTGTGTTGTAGAGGCAGTTCTGACTCATCGCGGCCCTGTTTAGAGTTTCTGAGGCTGTAAATCTGTACAGGAGCAGAAAGCTAGAAAGTTCAAACTGCTGACCTTGTGGTTAGCAGCTCTGCTTCTTGTTGTTAGGTGTTATTGAGTTGGTACTGGCTCACAGTGACCCTGTGCACCACAGAACGAAACACTGTCCCGTCCTGCGCCAAACTTAAAATCGTTGCTTCGCTTGAGCCCATTGCTGCCGATAACTGTGCCAGTCCATCTTGTCGGGGGTCTTCCTCTTTTTCTCCAGCTCTCCACTTTACCAAGTATGATGTTCTTCTCCAGGGATTGGTCCCTCCTGATAGTAGGATAATCCACTGTTGTTGTTGTTATGTGCCGTGGAGTCGGTTCCCTTTCATAGCGACCCTGTACTGGGTTTCTGAGGCTGTAAATCTTAACGGGAGCAGAAAGCCTCATCTTTATCCCACGGAACAGCTTGTAGTTTCCAACTGTTGACCTTGTGGTTCACAGCCCAGTTCGTAGCTACTACGCTACCAGAGCTTCTTAGGGTAATGCACTATGCGGTATTAAATTGCCTTAGGGACCCTGTCATAAGGGATGTGATAGGTGAAAAGTGAATTAATTGTAAAATTTGTACATGAAAGAAAGTTAGGTTTTTGTCCCCATGAAAAACAACCAGAGAAGTTGAATTGCCTCTATGCAGAAACCATATCTTACCCATGAGCTTTATATATGTAGACTTAGGACCAAGAGTATAGGATGCAGACACTGAAAGCCATGTTACAAGAATTTTAGTACGTTAAATTAAAAAAAAAACCAATTCTGGAAGCGTTTCTGAATCCAGATCATCTACAAAGTAGCCTTCGTTAGGGTCAGCATGATGGTTGTGCCACCCCTGGTCCCACTTCCTGGGCCTCAGTGAGAGCTTCATTCCCTGGCCTTGCTAACCTCTTGGGACTAGCAGTGACAGCCTGAATCTAACAGTATCACATTATTGACAGCCGCTAACAACAACAACAACAACAACAACATGACTGACACAAGTCTGATTTGTTCTCGACAACACAGTTTGAACAAATACCTCTGTTCTGGGAATGTTGAGGTTAATGCGAGGAGCAGACCTCCTTGGTTTGGGAGTCTCTCTCTCTGTGTTGGTGTTAAGTGCTAATTACTCCTGATGGGTTTTCTTTCCCAACGTTTAATTTGGTTTTCTTGCTATGTATTTAAATCTGAGTTCTTGATGCTTAGATACATTATCTATTTTGAAATACTTGCCTGTTCTTCCTTTATTCCCTGACTGTTTGAAGATGGTCTAACCAACTGGTGAATCATGTCGTTTGGCTCCAGAGTGAGCTGTGAGTGTGGGCATCAGTATTACAAGACTTTTTTTTTTTTTTTAACCCTGTAACCACCACCACCATGGGAAATAGAAGGCGCCCTGGTGGCACAATGGGTAAGCGCTTTGCTCCTCACTGAAAGGTTGGAGGCTCGAACTAAACCAATGGCGCTATGGGAGAAAAGATTGTCAGTCTGTTCCTGTAAAAATTGTTGTTTACTATCATTAAGCCAGTTCCAACTCATAAGCAACCTTGATAGGGTTTCCAAGCAGTGACTGGTGGGTTTGAGATGCTGACCTTTGGGTCTCTCATCCAGTGCTTCTCTACAGCACCACACCCAGCGTAGAACACCCCATGGGGCAGTTCTCTTCTGTCACATGAGGTAGCTATGAGTTGAAAATCAGCTTGGTGGCACCTAACAACAATTATAGGAGTCCTGGTATGGTGCTGTAAGATAATGTTATGGATTGCAAGGTCAGAAGTTCAAACCCACCAGCCGCTCCTTGGAAATCCTTTACAGGGTCACTATAAGTCGGAACTGACTCAAAGGTATGTAACAACAACAATAACATAGGGAGGGTTTTTTTTGGGGGGGGGGTGTTTTCTGGTATGGAGACATAAAATACTGAGTTTTAAGGACAATATGTGGAGTCCTGGTGTGGTGCTGCAGGTTAATGTGCCAGACTGCAAAGCCGTTTGAATGCAAAGTTGGCGGTTCAAGCACATCAGCTGCTCCTCAGAAACCCTATACAGGGTGGCTATGGGTTAGAACCGAATTGATGGCACTTCAAAGCAAGGACAGTATGTGGTGATGTTTTAGGCCCCCAACCCGTAAATATGACTGTATTTGGGAATTCTTTTGTTATGCCAAGGAGGTCATAAAGGGAGTAGGATGGGTTCGAAACCTAATTGCTTCTCAGTGTTATGAAAAGTGCAGAGTAGACATGGAGATAGACATTCAGGGAGAAGACAGCTGTCACAACAGCCCCAGAACTACCAACAAGGAAAGACCCCCGCCCCCCGACTCTCCAACCCCCAAAGCCAATGTCCTGATTTTGAACTCTAGTATCCAGAACTGTAAGACAATAATAAATCCCTTTTCTTTAAAGCCACCCACTTTGGTAATGTCTGTTAACTGCAGAACTGGGAAACTAAGGTAGGAAGGCAGAGTGTAGAGTAAATTGTATTGATTTCCTGGGTTTGCCGTAACAAAGCACCACAAACTGGTTAGCTTTGTAAGACGAGCAGGGCATTGTCTCTCCATTCTAGAGACTGGGTGTTCGTGATCAATTCCCTCTGAGCCTTTGAGGGAATATGTTTCATTCCTCTCCAGGCGCTTGTTGACTTGTAGCTACTGTGTCACATGATGTCCTTCCATCATCTCTGTGCATCTCCTCCTGTTTTGTAAGGATGTCATTCATCTTGGAATAGGATCTAGCCTACTTCAGTGTACACTCATGCTAGCCTGTCTGCTAACATCTCCAAATAGCCCATTTCACAATAGGATCTCATTCATGGGTATAGCCATTAGGTTATACCTTTTAGGGGACCACAATCCAGTCTATAGCATTAATAATAGAGAATGTAGGCGGTATTGAGGATATAGAAAGCAGTTGGGTTCATGTTGGGACCAAACAAGATCTTTCGATGGACCTTGAAAAGACATCATTCTAGCTCACATTGAGAGGGGGAGTTATTTTCCTTTTATATCGAGTGTTTGATAGTCTATGGAGCACCACATACTCTACTGGGTATTGTGACCAATGCAAAGAAATTGAAGATCAGAATGCATCCCTGGGAGGTAGGCATAAATAGAAGATCCACGTTTTACTTCTTAAGGAGAGTAGAGCTCTCCTTTCTAAAGACTTGATCTAGCTCAGCTAAGAAGGGCCCTTGAACTAACAGTGTCACTACTTGTTGGCTGTGGTGAGGCTCTGGAAACCTCCGGTCCTTTCCTTAGTCTGTGGATGTGAGAGCTGTAGACAGGGAGTTTCAGTAGGTGAGAGTGTAATAGGAAATGTCCAAAGGGTTTAAAATTTAAGCTGTACAATCATGGAGAAACCAACAAATGCAAATGAAGAATGGCACCGCTCGCTTCTATCTTTGCTGCAACTCTTCTGATTTATTTCCTTTGGTCATTTAGAAGAAGGTTGCAGGCATTATTAGTTATGGCTGGTTCCTACAGGAGAAATACAGGTTTCTGTGAATTACATTCCTGCTCACACTCAGCTGCTAACCAGAAGGTTGGCAGTTCGAGTCCCTCCAGAGGCACCTTGGAAGAAAGGCTTGGAGATCTGCTTCCAAAAATTCAGCCATTGATAACCCTTTGGAGCTCATTCCTACTGTGACATACACGAGGTGGCCGTATGTCAGAACTGACAGGAACTCTTTTCCCAAGTTGTTTTTTTCATCCTGCCCTGTTCAGAGTCTTCTGTGTAGAGGGATTCATCCCAGGCACGGATCCCAGAGATGCTTCCTTTCCGGGAGGCCTTTACAGAGAGATAGAGGGTCTGGTCAACTTGGCTTTGGCACTGTTTGCAGATAGGCAGTTGGACTTAAGGCTGCGTGAGCACCTTTCCAAACATTCCTTTTGATCCTGATGTTAAAATGCCGCTCTGAGAAAGGGGCTGTATAGGGATGTCTGAGCGTTTCCCAAGCAGCCAACCATAGGGTCTGCCCCTGATTCTAGAACATGCCCTTTAGTCTATGAGCAGGTTCTTGGGTCACTGTCTGGGGTCAGGTGCCGTTCATCCCAGGTCGCCATGAGTCAGAGTGGACTTAGCAGTATCTAATAACACTAAAAGTTGGGCACATATGGGGAGGTAGGGGGCTATGTGAAGACCTCCTAGTTTTACTTAGAGACTTAGAGACTGCTCCTAACTGCCTGTGAACAGTGTCACATTACTGAAGAAGCATGGTAAGCATGTTTAGTTGTGCTTCCTTGTTTACTACAGGTTAGTAAGTAAGCACAAGTCAGCCCAGGTTTGGAGGGTAATCTGCTTCTGCTTGTGAATTGGAGGCTGAATTATTAGCTCCTTTTAGTCCCATGGCCTCGTGTGGCGCTGTAGGATCACTGGACTGCAAACCACAAGGTCGGCCATTCATACCCACGAGCTGCTCCTCAGAAACTCTGTACAGGGTCACTATGAGTCGAAACTGACTCAATAGTACCTAAGGACAGAGTGAGGACCGGCTTCTCCAAGGAGTAGTTCTTAAAGGGAGTTTGGACTTGCTCATCATCCTAACTAATTTCCCTGCTCCTCTGCTCCTGCCTTTGGTTTGCATTTTAAGAGCTCAGAATGGGAATAGGGACTTATTTATTCCGGTTGGCCTAAGGACTTGTAATTTTCATTCAAGCATTCTGCAAGTGACAGCTGCATTTCCCCTTAGAGTGATATTGACTCACTGAGGTCAAATTTAAAAAGTGGAGAGGCTTCGATTCTTCAGGTGGTTGCCATCAGAAACAAATATATGTTAGCTCCTTGTCTTCCCCTCCGGGCAGTTTCTCCTTTGACTGAACACACTGCGTGTTTCCTGGATGTTGCCCCGCCTTCGTCTCCATTAAGGGAGAGAACCTTTTGACTTTTTTTTTCCTCCTCTCTTTCTTTCTTGTCCTGAGAAGAACGTTGTGTCTCCTCTCACCAGGGGAGATGGCAGCAGCGACAAGTAGAAAGCAAACTTCCTACGCCTTGTGGAATGCATGTGCCAAAGAGTCCTTTGGTTCACTTGTCTGTCGGCCGGCTTCAAACGCAGCCGGTCTGTTGGGTGGAGTCCAGACTGATTTTCACACTCGAAATACCTCGTGTAGTATAAATAAGAAAAACGTTAAAAAGCAAAAAACCCACCATCTTTTCTTGGATTAGTCACTGACTTGGATTCTAATCACTCATTAATAATAATAATAATAACCTCATCCCAAGTGCACGTCAAAAGAATGTCAAGTTTAAATATCGGTCTGGAGGGGACAGGGGCAAACGTAATAGCTGGAGTGCATATGTATTTAGGGATGATGCAGAGAATAGAAGCAACTGCTCAGCTTTCTGCCTGACTGTACACTTCTAGGTAATGGAGGGAGGGCTGCTCTCTCCCAGCTTTTCTCGTGACATAAATACGAGTGTGCTGCATTAATTTACCGTTAGTGGAGGAGAGCACAGTCCTGGTTCAGGCAGGTCAGGGAGAGACTGAAAAAGCACACAGGGTGGGGAGAGAGGGGCAGACCTTTCTCTGACACGCCTTCCTGGGCCATGAATTGACCCTTGCGTTCACTGCCCGTCTCTGTCCACTTCCTGAACGTGAAACAGCTGGGCTCCTTTGTCACCCCTGTTTGGTACAACCCATGTTGGAGCTGATTTGTAGAGGGCTGGAGGTTCTGGAGATTCAGAGCTGCTAGACTGCCCCCTTCAAAGACACCAACCCCATTGGGAGATTGGTGAGCAGAGTGCAGCTCTGTGTGGGGCTGACTGTGTAATAGACAAGGTGTAACAGAGGCCCACATCATGATGCTGGGAGGCTGATTGGAGAAGGCTTCAGGGTCTGATGGAGACACTGCCCCTGACAGACAGATGGGAATTGGTGTCCAGAGTCATGGTGAGGAGTAGGGTCTTTAGTTCCCATACTTTTTTGTGCTTTTAGTGAAGGTTTACACAGTTTAGGTTCCCATTCACCAGTGTCTACACAAGTTGCTCAGTGACATTGGCGCCGTTCTTCATAATTCGTGAACATTCCCATTATTTCTGTGCAGATTGTTCCGTTTCCACTTAGTTCTGATCTGAGATATTTTATTTGGGTCTGAGATGTCCAGTACAGTCGCCACATGAGAGGATGCATATTTGCATGACTGAGAATGAAATAAAAGTTTACATTCAGTTTCTCAGTGGTACTGGCCACATTCCAAGTGACTTTCACACTGGAGGAGGAAATCTGGTGGCTCTTTGGGTAAGGTATTGGGCTGCTGAGCGCAAGGTCAGCGACTGAAAGCCAACTGCTCTGAGGGAGAGAGGTGAGGCTGTGTACTGTGTGCTCCTGTAAATATTTACAGTCTCAGAATCCCTCTGGAGGCTCTGCTGTGAGTCACAATTGACTCACTGGCCGTGGGTTGGGTTTGGTTTTGGATCTTACTGGATAATGGAGACATAGACCATTTCCTTTATTGCGGGACAGTCTGTTGAACATCTCTGTTGGGGATAAATTCTGGGCCAAATGAACACCATACAGCCGTGGTATCTTAGATTGCAGCTGAAACTTGTTTCCAACTTTTTGGGTTTGGTGTTTTGAAGTCTCTCATATCCTGTTGATGAAGCTTGTTCTTGTCTTCTCTTGAGTCTGAGTGAGGTGCTGAATTGGTGTAGTCAGAAGGTGATGGCTCCTTATTTTTTCTATATGTACTTTTCCTAAAGAGAGAAGGGGAAACATCAGGCCTTCCACAAACCTCAGAAAGTGTGTAGGAAATATCTAAACATACACGTTAAGGTGACTATCCACTTCCCCTTTCAGTCACCTCTGACTTACGACCTGAGTAAAACTGTGCTCCATAAGGTTTTCAGAATGGCTGATTTGGGGGAAGTTGAGGTACCTCTGGATGGGCTAGAACCTCCAAATTTCAGTTAGAAGCTGAAGACTTGAGCGCAGTCATTCTGTCTGTGAGCCTTGGTTGAGGTTGGCGGAGGGCTGGGCTGTGCCTTCAGATATGGCGGGGCCTCTGAGCTCAGCCTCTGACTCTCTCTCTCTCTCTCTCCTTCCCTACAGTGGGCGGTGAGATCCCCCTAGACATGCGGCTCGGGGGCGGGCAGCTGGTATCCGAGGAGCTGATGAACCTGGGCGAGAGCTTCATCCAGACCAACGATCCGTCGCTGAAGCTCTTCCAGTGCGCCGTGTGCAACAAGTTCACCACGGACAACCTGGACATGCTGGGGCTGCACATGAACATGGAGCGCAGCCTTCCCGAGGATGAGTGGAAGGCTGTGATGGGGGACTCGTACCAGTGCAAGCTGTGCCGCTACAACACCCAGCTGAAGGCCAACTTCCAGCTGCACTGCAAGACGGACAAGCATGTGCAGAAGTATCAGCTGGTGGCCCACATCAAGGAGGGCGGCAAAGCCAACGAGTGGCGGCTCAAGTGTGTGGCCATCGGCAACCCCGTCCACCTGAAGTGCAATGCCTGCGACTACTACACCAACAGCTTGGAGAAGCTGCGGCTGCACACAGTCAACTCCAGGCACGAGGCCAGCCTGAAGTTGTACAAGGTAGGACCCGGCTCCTTGGGGCCCAGGTGCTCTGCAAAGGCTGTGGGTGGGATACCAGGGAGAGGAGCTGAACAGTCCATGCTGTGGCAGGTTGCTGGACCATAGGCTGCTGTTGGAAGGGAATTGGCACCTGCTGGGTCATGTTGCTAAGATGAAATGGCTGGTTACAGCTGTAATTTAAGGTTCTTTGTCTGGGACACCCGATGTTGAGGGGGCAGGCTTTGTTTCAGCAGCCCCGTACTGTGCCCCATCCACAGACCTCCTAACTGTCTCTTCTGTCAGCTGTTACTCACTCCCTTCTCCTTGGTTCATGTCTATGGTTTGCTTCCATGATTTTCTTCTCTCCTTTTCCATCTCCTTTTTGTTTTTCTGTTTGCTCTTTGCCCCCGGGGTGGTTCAATGTATGCATTGATTCAACAACAAAAAGTTCATGAAAAAATGGAATGAAAGGATCATGAAAGTTTTCCAAGAAGTTTTGGAAGTTCCTTATATACAGAACTCATCTGCGAAGTACCAGCACTGTTGTGGGCTCCTGGCTACATAAGTGCACACAAGACCGACAAAATTCACTTCCCTCAGCAAGCTTCCATCCTTTTCTTTATTTAAAAAAAACCACAAAAAACCATTTTGGGTGGTGTTGGGGAATCAATAATGATAAACTCAGTGAATAAATGATGCAGATGGCTGTAGATGCTGTGGGTGGAAAAGAGCCAGATAAGAGGACCCTCCCCCCCCCCTTTTTTTTTTCTTTTAAGTTTTTACTGTGACCTGAGTGGTAGTTTACATGGGAGAACATCGGCTTTACACCATTGTTTCATTGCAATGATTACAATCTCCTCCGTGCATCATCGTTCAACAGTATCTGCTTCTATGCCCTCTGGTTTTCTTTTGGGGGGTGGTTGGGGGATGTACACAAAAACACTCAAGAATATATAATCATTTAAACAACCAAAGGGCACATTCTGCAAGCCTGCCTCCTGGTCACTAGCCCTGGCTGCCAACACACAGCCTTTCTCTTTCCATGAGTCCAGAGTCCTCACCTCTGCCTCCATCTTTGGTGTTGCTGCTTCTCTGGATAAGGTCCCACATTCCGCTCATGCTCTTCTCCCTTGATGGTCCTAGGGTCCTCTGTCCTGGGACTGTAAGATTAACTACTCCTTCTTTTTGTTACAAAACTTCTACCTTTACAATTGTGACAGTCGCAGTTAGTCATGATATCAGTTACTGTTGAATCATAAGAATCTTAGCCCCATCTCCTTTCACCAGACCATCTAGACAAGATGAAAACCGATTCAGTTTCTGCCTTTGCTTTTGTTGTCTTATTTCCCCATTTTCTTTTCTCCTGATCTTTTTCTGGGATGGTCTCATTCTCCGCTCTTCCCCACTTCTTCTTTGTAACTCACCCCTCCCCCATTGCCAGTCCTACTCTGAACTCTAGACGGTAACCCAGGAGGGGGAGGTGCTCCGGATACTGTAAATAGTCCTTTCACTTGCACGGCAGAATCGCTCCAGACGTTTCTATTGATTTTCACTGGACTTAAAGCCTCACCTTTTTCTCTAATCATCCCATAATGGCTTTAGTATGAACAATCAGGTACAAATCGCCATAAATCTACACAGCCTGGTCCCACACACCTTCTGCTGCCTCCTTCTCTTCATCTCCTTCGCTTTCTCTGTCCATCTCTCCTGGTGCCTTTCTTGCCGTTTCTTACGTTTTGGGACAAAGTGTTTCGTTTCTGCCTACCCTGAAGTGGTTTCATTCACTTCTTACTCTTCACAATTTTAAATGGAGCCCCTCAGTAGGGAGATTTCTTGTTCTTTCCCGATTCAGTCTCTGCCTAAATAGATAATTGTAATTCATTTTATAATTAATCATGCTCAGGATGGAGGGAGGCCTGTGTTTTGGATGTGGCATCAAGGGTAAGCCCTTTTAGGGAAAGAAGAAAGCAGGAATGAGGTAGCAGGCATAGAATGTTCTAGAAATTGGCTGCCGACTCTAGCTATGGGTAGGATAGATGGTATTATAGGAAAGGTCTGGGCATCATTCGCCATGGCCTCTCTTATCTCAAGCAATCAGGCCCCTCAGTTGACCAGCCCCATCTGTGCTACCATCAAGAGAAAGGCTTTGAACTGGCAGTTTCAGTGGGAGGTCTTCACTGGCCTCAGACGGTGAGTGCCAAGAGGGGCTAGCTGATGGAAACCAATGGAAAAACGAATCTCTAAAGGACCAGAGGTATACACTTTGAACGAAGGACCTTGCTTGGCCACTGAAGGTCAAAGGCAACTTAGATGAAGGTGTAGTGTAGAGGGAACACAACGTGCCCGTCTTCCATTCCAACAAGAAAAGGCTCATGCTGGTGAGTCCCTCTCCATGTTCCGTGTAGCAGAGTCATCAGACCTGGAGCCTGCTGGCTTTGCTGTGCATATCCTCTTCTGGTCCCAAACCCATGTCCTCAGAGAACATATTGAGGCAATTCCCAGGGTAAATGTGAGGGGACCGTTTTATTAGTTCGACACTGCTAGCCCTGGGCACTGAGCACCCTGGGCCTGAATAGTCTCCTCTCTAAAAAGGCAGTGAGCACAGGTAGAAGGGTCATTATAGCTGGGATATAGCAGAGCGAGGGGGAATGCGCCTGAAGGAGAGGAGCCAGAGAAATGCATTGGGCCAGCAAGGCCCTGGGACTTGAGGGGAGGATTCCTTGCATCAGGAGCTAAAGGTCATTAGTCTGGTCTCATTAGTCCTCGAGTAATGAATGTCCCCCAGCTCAGGGTGACTGCCGTGGGGGCGGGGCACCAAGCCTCTTCGTTCTTCACTGTCATGAAGATAAACTCCTTTTGCCTCCGAGGGGGCTCCCTCTCATATTAGGGTTTTGTTCATCCAGCGTTTGGGGTGGGGATTGGAGATGTTGAGAGTCAGGTTTTTTCTCAGCCCTGGTGTGGGCTGTGGTAAATGGAGATTGATTGCATGTTATTTTTCCTCTTGCTAATGTAATCCATTAGCCCGGCACATGCATAATCAGCTTAGAGCACAGTTAACTGGGTGTAATCGAGTTCTTTACTGTCTGCTAGAGAAACCCACTCCAGATGCTGGGGACCCAGGGTGGGTGTTGGGCTGCTGCCCCCGACTCCCCGCCCCCCACTTCCCATTCCTGTTCCCACTTGGTTCCCTAGTGAACAATTCATTATTGCTTTCACTTCCGCTGCACCAACTGAAGTGGCCATGATGCCCAAGTGTTTGGTCCCTTGCTGGGTCTCCTACCCTCTCTTCTCATGGGAATGGGCATGTTTCAGAGAATTGCAGGCAAAAATTGGTGTGTCATGTGACCAGTTTAGAGTTAATATCTTTTGACATCATAAATTCGACATCATAAAAACATAGGTTGCTATGTTTGGGCTGAACCCTCTGAGAGTGTGAAATAATTTCTGATCAGAAAGGGAGGGTTGGGCTCATCCACATGGAATTGGTGATATTATGTTGGTGGTCTAGAATAGTCTAGTTTTGATTATTGTGTGATAACAAAAATCCAACCAGACCTATAGTTGTCGAGTCGATTCCTACTCTTACTGACCCTTTTGGAGAGAGTTTCCGAAACCAAATCTCTGTGGAAACCGACAGCCTCAATCTTCTCTTACTGAGGGCCTGCTGGGTTTAAAGCAGTGACATTCCCATTAACAGTGTAGTTCCTCATCTGTGTGTTACCAGGACTCTTACTGTGTGATTGTTGTTGTTAGGTGCTGTGTAGTCGGTTCTGGCTCATAGCAAGCCTATGTACAACAGCACAAAACACTGCCTGGTCCTAGCTAGCTTCAAAGGCGTTGTTACATCTGAACCCACTGCTGCTGCCACTATGTCAATCCATCTCCCTGGTGCTCTGCCATTTTTTCACTGCTCCTCCACTTAGTTGTTGTAAAGTGCCACTTCTGAACCCTGTGTTGTAGGGTTTCCGAGGAGTAGCTTTTGGATTTGAACCACTGGTCTTGCAGTTTCTACCTTGAGGTCCGGTCCAGTACATTATCCTACAGCATCACACGGGAACTCCACTTTACCAAGCATGATATCCAGGGACTGGTCTCTCCTGATAATCTGTCCAAAGTATGAGAGACAGTCTTACCATCGTGGCTTTTAAGGAGCATTCTGGCTGTACTTTCAACACAGACTTGTTTGTTCTTCTGGCATTCCATGGTACTTTTATTATTCTTTGAAATGGCTGTCCCAAGTATACTTCCTCCCTGCCCAGTGGAAGCAGAGTGGAGGCAGAAGGTGAGAGAGCAAAGGCATCAGATGGAAGCTCTGTCTTGTTTTCTTTCGGTTCCCATGTTTTCTTCTACAAAGTGCTCATGGAGGTCCTCAAGCTTGTTGACTATGGGATTTAGGTAGTGTCTGGCTCTCATCTAGCCCCCAGTGGTCCAGATCCTAGCACTGGCCATTGTGACAGATAGAGTCACCGGAAAAGCAGAAGTGCCAGGGACTACTCTTACAGGCCGGCTCTTCACTTCTGTCCTTAGTGGTTGGAGCCAGATGGGAGTGTGTTGTGGAAAAGGCACTGTTCCTCAGCATGGCTGAGCTTCAGGAAGGTCCGCTCTTCATGTTTAAATGCAGAGTCTTCTCTTGTAGCTGGACCTGCCTACCTCCCACCCGCTCCCCCATAGAGCTGGAGAGCGTTCTTGCTTGTACGTCCCAGGATACTTGCCCTCTGCTCTCCTTGCCCCTGCAGCTAACTCGGTTACTGGCTACAGTGCAAGTTCTTCTGCGTTGATCTTGCCTCCCTGTTAGATGGTGTTGATAGGCAGCTCTCTGATATTGGTAGCATTTTCTGTGTGGGGGAGGAGTAGTGCCGAAACAGCACTGTTGGTAATCAGCACACACCTGCCAACTATTAGAATCTGGTTTTCACTTTGATGTTTTTCTTCACCTGAGAGCCATTGGCATGGAAATCCATCAACTTTAGCATATAGATTAAGACCCCACCAGAATCTATTACTCAAACAGCTCCCAGCTG